CATGCACACAAAAATAATAAAATAAAATAAAAAAAGAAGTATGTGACAAACAGAAGATGCTATATGAGTGCAGATGTGAGTAGAACAGGTTGCAGATTTATAAAAATCAAGATGCCAAACCTAATTAAAGAAGAAAACAAGTGGTGCTCAGTGAGACAGATAGGACAATGTTACAGGAATCAAAAAGGTGAACCTCAGTAGTTGATAAAGAACAAAAAGTGGAAGGAAAGGGAAAGATTACACAGTTATTACTATGAATGGGAACAGATTATTACTATCCCTCTTGCAAAAAAAAAAAAAAAAAAAGACACAGTGTTCTAAGTTTGAGGGTACCAGATTTTATTTCAGGCTGGGAGCCCTGGTGGGTAGTCCATAGGATGATGTACCACTAACTGGCTGTGTGTTTGTCTCTGGCCTTACACGTTCATTGGCTGCGTCATGGCAGAAAGGTGGGCAGTCTCCTCTGGTTATAATTTATCACTCTGGAAACCTGATGGGGGTTACTAAGAATAGGAACTGACTTGACTGCAGAGTTTGAGGTATTTTAGATTTTATTTCAGATAAACTGAGGAGAAAATATGCATAGTATATGAATCAAAGGCATGGGAGTAATAAAAAAGCAAGAACAAAAAGTGTGAAAACAGTAGAAAATGTGCCCTGTTATGGTATAAGGGTCAGCCTATTAGCAATACTTTGAACTGGAAGTTAAAAAAATTATTTTATAAAGTAAAAGATGAAATATATTCTAATTTAGTATTTTCACGTTAAAAAAAATACTGCTTTGATATTTTTAGCTTTCTGGTTGACGTTGACCCTAGAAGTTTGTTTATGTTCTGAACATTCATGGATTTAATTCAGTATGTTGCCCTATTAAAGTAGTGAGAGGCTTGAACGAGTTATTAAAATGTACTCTCACAACTGGGGATGAATTGTCCTGATCCTGTTAATAGCTTGATAATTCTGTATTCCAGAAGCTCTCCCTTGGCTGGTTGTACAAAGATAACATTTTACTTCTATTTTTCACAAACATGATTTGCATTTTACTATTTAGTGCATAAGGAAATAATTCTAAATTCAGGAACAGTTTAACAAACAAACAAAAAAGTTATTTTCCAGATCCACAAAAATGTTAATCAGATTCTTGTTCGAACATGTTTAAGAACTGGTTTTCATTGTCACAGCTCTTGATGTCAGATTACTAAAATAACGTATGTTTTGTTGTGGGAACATGGATACATACAAAACCTCCCCAATCACATGACCACATCTCAGCCCTTACTGCTTCAAAACTTTTAGGAAATTATTTGTATTTGGTGGTAATGAATGAATGGCAGAAGGAGCACAATTTCAATGTGACCCTTCTCTATTCAATTAAACATATTCTCTATTTATTCTTAAAAAACTAATTTTAGTTAAATAGCAATAAACCATGATAATTCAGAAAACATGTTGAAATGGAGAGTGAAGAGAAATGCTCTCTATTTAAACTGCACTGTAAACCATAAAGCTTATTTTTGTCAACTGCTCCTCATGATAGTGGCTGGGAATTTGACATTTCTACTACAGTAGGCAAAAAAAAAGGCATGTAAAATACACCCTCCCCTACACCACATCACACATCTCTATTTATATATCCAAATTAAAAGCAGTACAGCTCCAAAGAAGTGCTAAGAAGACTGTGTATATTTATGTCAAGAGCTGTAAAGCCATACAAACATTACCTTAAACTCATGATATCTATGTGTCACTATCCAAAACCCACCCATCCCTCCTCCCAAAGACCTACTGAATGGATCAGGCTTTTCTCACCAAGTAAAGTTCAACACATTGTAATGCTTTCAAGGTGAGGAAACTTTTCAATAAACTGGTTAAAACAAAACAAGGGAAAAAATATCCTTGGCCAGTTATGGTTATATAATATCATTCAAAACCACTCAGCAACTTCAAAATATGTTTGCACTATTTAATTACTGATGAAAATGTTTGTTGTTGCTACATTGTGTTTCATTGAGTCAGAACCAACTCATAGTTGACACTCCAGTGGGTTTTCAGAGGCAGAAAATCACACAGGAGATTACGAATCTTTCTTCCGTGGAGCAGCTGTTGGATTTGAACCGAATGCTTTTGTGAAGGCAGTGTAATTTCTTGTCACTGAGCCACCAGAGCTGTAAAAAACTACCACTCTATGGAGTTGTTGTTGTTGTGATGTACCATCAAGTCGGACCTGACCCAGAGCTGACCCTCTAACAGGGTTTCAGAAGTAAAGTCACATGGGAGGAGACTGCATCTTTCTCCTGTGGAGCAACTGGTGGACTCGAAGCTTGTACCTTTGTGTTAGCAGTGCACTTCCTTACCACTAAGCCACCAGTGGCGTCCACTTCTTCAACAACATGCCTCTAGAGACGCTATGAACTTTCATAAATGTCAATAATAGAAAGGCTGCAGGCCTTCTGTTCATTGGGTCGCTATGAGTGGTCTTGACTTGAAGGCAATCAACAACAACAACAAGAAGTCACCAGAGCTCCCTATAATTAAAAAAAGTAGCATCAAATTTTACAAAAGTTTGAAGCTGGATATTTTAAGACTAGAAAAACAGAAAACAAAACCAAACTTATTGTCACTGAGTTGATTTCAACTCACAGTGGCACCTGAGGCCCAATTAGAATGGCCCCATAGGCTTTTTTCAAACCTATAAATCCTTATAGCAGCTGAGTGTTACATCGTTCTCCTGAAGAATAGCTGGTGAGTTCAAACTGTTGACCTTTAACCCTTAACTGCTTAACCATTGTACTACCAGAGCTCCTTAAAACCAGCAAAGCGATCTTGACTGTTCTATCCCAGTAGATATGAATGTGACAGGAATGGGGCTGACTTTCTGATCTTATCTGATATATACGTTCAATGCACTAGCCTAGATTTCAGAGGTTTTCTAATAAAAACCTCCCCTCTCCACTTAAAAAGATCATAAGAAGTCAGCACAAGTCAGTTTTCCTCCCTGCAGAAAGGATATTTAGTTTGGGATGTAATGTTTTAAAACAATAATACAAACCTCCTGAGAGAATACCACAATAAATGTCTCAAAACCCACTCAGTTAATCCCAGGCTATAATCTGGCTGTTTTAAATTACGGCAGGGAATATTAAGGGCCTTAATGACACTGTAACTGCAGAAAGCCAAAGAAAGCTAGAAAAAGAGGCCAAAAAGATGAGCTCAGAGCCAGCTAAAGTGACAACAAACATGTGGCTGTTTACTAGGGTTGGAGAGGTTTAGTCTGCAGATGTTTGTGGTTGCTAGAAGGTTCCAGAGGAATGAATTGTTACAAAGATTTGCAGAGTTTGATGAGAGCAAGATTCTCCTTGGAGATGGCAGGCCCCAGTACAGGGAGGCTCAACTGGATAGACAGAATTTATAGATTTTTGTGGTCAGATCATACTCTACTGGCCCCACAATGTACATCAACAAATTAATATTGTACGGATGTCATTTCAAAGCTTCCTTAAGAGGAGAGTCATTATTGAAGCCATTAGAGCACAGATGGTTTAAAATATATGCAGATATTCATACTTGCATTTTTGCATTATAGCTGGGTTTTTTTTTTCTGTTGAACTGTAATGAATTGTCTCATAATCTATTCCATCTTCTTGCCATTAGCAGGCTTTGAATGTTCACAAATAGGAGCAAAGAACTCATTTTCCAGAGCTTTAATCACACAAAGAGGGAATGTCTAATTCTCTAAATGAAATGGTCTGTGATCACTGAAGCAGAGATTTAATATATCACGGCAAATTAGCTAGATTTTAATAAATTACTTATCTCCCTGAATACTTCGTATGTGCTTAAGAAGGAACATAGCCTGTTTGCAAACAGTGAAAACCCACAGCCTATAAAAAAATCCTTTGAAGAAAATGACAAATAAAAAAGTAAATTAAAAAATGAAATGCATTATATCCTAGACCTCTAGAGACAATTCCTTTGCAGCATTGATTCACAGCTCCATTTAAAATATCAATTAAATCCTTCAGTGAGATTGGGTAAAAGCTAGAAAATTAACTTTCTGAGTTGCTCTTTTTGAGGATATGGTTATCCAGATACATGTAAGCATTTTACAAGTTTGAGGTAAATTTGAAAAATGACAAAAAGATACTCTTTTAAGGTCTAAGTAGGCATGTCGGAATTTGAGTCATACTTTGGATAATTTCGAAGTCATAACATAAATTTCCAAGGGGCAAATGATATATATTTATATATTTCTTCTCTGTACACACATCTCTCTGGATTCCACATTACCATTACAAAGAAAAGAAAACATATGAGTAGGAAGAACTGTGATTTTTACGAAAGAAAACAAAAATTTGTAGTAATTTAATAAATTGGTGCCAAGTCTCATTCTTTATATTTAATTGATAGAAACTGCATGCATCAAAGAAAATGCATACTGAGCTTTAATGTGCATAAAATGGATATTAGCATTTTAAAGAGGAAGATTAACACATTAATCCAAGTAATTTTCATATATTGCTTCTAATAAAATCTTCACAGTATAAAACTCTTAATGAGGCCAGGCAAAAGCACCCCATTTAGTGGGACGATTAGGGATCACATAAAAGTACTTCTTTTTCACAGACTTTCTAAAATTTATGCTTTTTGCTTATTAAAAAATAAAAACGGGAATTGCATTGCAGTTCTTCATAAGAAAACATTGAAAATGCAAATTGAATGTCTCAGGCTATCATGTAGGTATAAATTATTGAGAAGGTGTTGCCTATTGTGGGGAACAGAAATCCTGAGGGGTGGCAGTCCTGGGAAGGAGGAAATAGAAAAATAAACAAATGAAAAAGTATACAAAACTTGAACACTTCAAACCCAGCCCCAACCCCCACCTCAGTTGGCCATGAATTATAGATGATATCTACTGGAATAATTACACCAATCTCATCTCAGAGCTTTCATGTGAGTATTTACTCAAGAGCAGGAGATGCCTCTGGAGCAGTCAGTTTCCTTCAAGCCTCCAAGTTCTTGCTGTATTCCTTGTAGACAGACCGCAGGGCATGGAGAGCTTCGACTGTTACCCTCAGCTTGCCAATACCTTCACCATCTGCTTGTACATCAAAAACTAAGGGGGGAAAAAAATAGTAGTATGTGTGAATGGTGTTCCATCGATATTTCTTCAGCTATGATGGCTAAGACTGTAGTTAAAAATATGAAAATAGCTCTATAACATACAAGGCTCACTGCTCTCTCAGAAACGATACAACTGACTCTTGTGATATGTGCATGAAAAAATACATTTAAAATGCAGTGCATGAGCATAGGGAAAACTAATGATCTCATTCTGACGTATACCTAGTGAAAAGGAAGAGAATCAGAATTTTTGAGCTAGTGGGGCATTGTATGTCAATGAAGAAATTTACATTGCAAAGAGAAGAGCGAACTAGGGGGAGGGGTGGGGCAGGGAGAAAAATGCAGCAATGAATGAGTGGAAATACAAAATCTCTATAAATGTTCATTAAAATTAATAAAAAAAATTAAACAAAACCCCCCCAAAAAACCACCCCACCTTATAATAACATTTATTTTCAGAACAGCAACCAAAAAATGTCCAAAAGAAGAAAAGCCAACAAAGGAGCCTTTTTTTCTAACCTACAGTGTTAGTAACAAATTTCAGGAAAACCCCCCACAACCACCAAATGATCTTAATTTAGATTATTTCGTTTTCTAAGAAAAACATTTTGTTTACAGAAAATTTCTGCGACATTGGAAAACGTTACAAGGCAGAACCAGGAATCCCTGTGGATGGGCTCTAAGGTTGTATGAATCGATGCTGCTGGAAAGTGAATGTAAATCTTTGACTGTATGTCGGCTTCTCATGGAAGAGAAAACTAAAGTCAAGTATGCTAAAGGCAAAACGCCGAGTGAACCGTAGACCTGCACTGACCTGAGGTGTGGGTGCTAGCCAGGCTGCAGATGCAGTCAACAAGCCCTCATTACATTGTGGGCAATGATAACATGCGAGCGTTTGAAGACAAAAGTCTTAAACTTTGCAATTCTGACAGCACTTAGGAAAGCTTGTTTATAACCTGATGGATCTTCTGTGGACTTTAATATGTACGTGGGAGTTCTATTCCAAGAAAATCCGCAAGGAAACCTTAAAGCAAACTTGCTATATAAAATCTAGGTCAAGAAATGAACAAGCAAAGAAGACTCCAGGTCCACAAGTGGTTCTCCAACTTCTTTTCCTTACATTCTCACTTTAGTATCTGTTACTTCTATTCCTTCTAGAGGGACATCATGCTTGGGAAAGTGGAGAGTCGGCAAAAGAGAGGAAGACCTTTGATGAAATGGACAGTGACTGCAATAGTGGGCTAAACTGTGTCAGAGACGAGGATGACGCAGGAGAGAGGACAGGTTTCAGATCTGGTGCTCATAAGATCACTGAGTCTTATACAGGCTTGATGGCACTTAACAACAACAACAACAAAAACAATGGCAAAGTAATAAAATGCTGAAGTGAGCAGTGCCTAATCTTTGACTCCTTCTTAAAACAAGGCCACAAGCTTCATCAAGCTATATATATCAGATCAGTGTGGTCATAGGCAGCCTTGTAGCCTGATAAAGGGTAATTATAGAGATCTAAATGGAAAAATGATAAAGTACACAAGTGTGGTATCACGGATTTATTGTTTAAAATTACTTTCCTAGCCACTGACTTTGACTCTCATCACATAAGTGCAAAGGAACTTAAAAATGATGTTGTTGATTGCCTTTGAGTTGAGCATGACTCATAGCGACCCTATGAACAAAAAGCCTGAAGCGTGCAACAATGAATGAATGGAAATCCAAAATCTCTGTAAATGTTTATTAAAATTAATAAAATAAATTTTTTTTAAAAAAAAAGCCTGAAGCCCCTTTACAATGATTGACATTGATCAAAGTTCATAGTTTCTGGAGGCAACTTAACAAAAGCGTGTGTATAAAGCTATCATTAGGGATTGGTCAGTTTTTCTCATCACACCAAGTTAAATTTAGTAGCAAAAGAGGGAATCACCACCAGCAAGAAAAAAGCAGCTGAAAGAGCAGCATTTGCTTTTTTGGGAGAGACATTCCTGCCTCCCTCAGACTGAGATCTACATGAGAGCAACAGCAGCCTCAGCAGAGAACTCGATTCCAGGGTGAGGCAGAGCTGCCGGTGGGACTGCTGTCCCGTGCAGCCAGCATTAGGAACCTTTCCCCAAACTTGCCGGAGGACTGAGGGGAGATGCCATCATTGGCAGGACTAGGAGAATTTTGTAACACTGATCTAAGCTATGAGGGTGAAAGTCAAAGGACTTGTGAGCACACCTGATAAACTATCAGGACTGAGGAATGGTATCCTGCTGCCAACATTAATAGTAATCTGTTAATTCCCTAATTGACCTCATGAGTATGGTTCTCTGAAATCTGTGTTTATTGCAACAGATCTGAAGTCCAGTAGAGCAGGAAGATTGGTGTTAGAATTAGTGGAAGTAGATACGGGAGCATGTGAGACCATGCCTGCCTGACCTTATAGGAATTGGTTTTGTAGTGTGAATATTGGTATTTTTTTAAAATTTTATTATTATTTGTATGTGTTTGTAATGTCAAATTGGATCTGACTGGTACAAGAGGAGACTGTCCCTCCTTCCCCGGCAGAGCATCTAGTGGATTCAAACCGCACACCTCTGGGATTGCAGTGCAGCTTCTTGCCACTAGGCCACCAGAGCTCGCCTGTCCTGTGAATATTGTTGATGAGGATAGTTCTCTTTTGTGAAGTTAGCAGAGATCGGCTATCTGTTCTTGTTTTAAAACAAATTATAGATATTTTTGTCAGAGTCTCTTGGTCCTAGTATCTTTAGAAGGATTTAGGTGAGTATTTTAATCCTCACATCTTTTCATTCTGTGTCAAACAAAAGCCATGTGGTTACACATATGCACATTTTTCCCACCAAGGGTTTTACCAACTTAATAGTGAAAGTAGGAATCAGTTACCTTTATCTCTTTATAGCATACAGTCCAGGCAATTCCTGATCATGATTAAAAAAAATACCTACTTCATAGCTAAGAGAATACGCCATCCCCTTTTCCTTATGACTCCGGGTGAAGTCTCTCTCAGGGAGGAGTGATAGGGAATGGCAAAGGA